GTGCCTGGCCTCAGGTTGTTTACACATTGAAAACTTGGCTTAGGAAACTGCATTTTATAAAATATAGCGGCATAGAACAGGATCATATCAAGCATTTCCTCCCATTTCACACTGGTTTTGGAATTAAATTCTATACTGAGTGCCTTGGTATTTTTAGTTATCCACAGCCTGTGTCCAAGACCACTAAAAGCTCATGGGCTGACAGCTGTGACAGCTTGTGCGCCTCTGGCCCAACAGAAGGATCAAGCTATGCTCTTCTGTAGGAGACAAGGCTTTCCTGGAGGTCAGCCCCAGAATGCAAAAAGCACTCCCATGGCTTTAAATACAACACTCAGCCTCCAGATGCACCTGCAAGATGCATTTCTTTGCCTTCTTAAACATAAAAACATGGCAGCAAAGCAGCTGTGTATGAAATGACCAAAGCAACACATTCAACTCAGTTCGCCCTCTGGGAGGAAGAGGAGAAGATAAAGAGGTGAGTCATGTTGTTTACTGCTGTACAGGAAAGTGGTTAATGGTTGGCAACGTCACTGATGAACGAGATTGGGAAACCTGAACAGACTAGAAATGAACTTGCTTCTTTTCTCATTATGTTCTGCAAATACATTTTGGTGGTAGATTATGTGCAAAGCGTGTACCAGCAAGTGTTTTAATTGAATGATTTGTCATTTTCAAGTATTTTTTAAAGATGCTATCTAGGTTTGCTTCAGGTGTTAAAAAAAAGTCACTAATACTTTCATTTAAAAACATGCCCAGTCAATCCCTGTCTCCAAGATTTATGAACAGCACAGAGCTAATAAATACCTGCATTGCACCGTGGTACAGTTCTGCATGGCGTTTGCTCAAATTCAACCATGCCTCTGTAGGACTGGGCTCCATTATTTTCTGGGGTTTTAAAATCTCTAGACCTACTTACCTTCATTGCTGGCTAAATGTTTATTTAGAATTATGCATTGCAGTGAAGCCTACTTGCTTTCTCTCTCCTTGACTATTTTACAGAAAGAATACAAAACAGAGCAGTCATAACCCCCCGTGTGTTCTTTATGGCCTGATTCAACTAAAAAAAAAAAAAAAGAGAAAAAAGTTTATCTCGTGTTAGACAAGTACAGCAACAGCAGTTTTAGGTCTGTGGCCTGAAAGTACCATAGTGATGTGGTGAGAAAGAGAAGATAAGTAGAGGCTGCAATATTCTGGGCAGTTTTCCTCTCACTTCCTTTTATCCTGCAGCACACAGGGTGTGGAGGTAAGGAACACCTTCCTTAGTGCAGGAGCTCTACAGGCTGCTTGTCTGCAGTGCTGGAGCCCCAGGGGCCATGCTCGGTGTCCACAATGTCACAGGGGCAGTTCTGCAATGAGCTGGTCCTTGTGAACGTGGTGCTTTTCCTGAGGTTTTGGTGAAGGTGGTGGTGTAAGGTGCCTGAAGCTGCCTCTGCTCCTGTATCTCTGACGGTCAGTGGAGCTCAGTAAATCATTGTGGGGAGGTGAAGCAACTCTGGAGGGTCACAGAACATAGGGATCATGTTCAATGTCATATTCATCTGCTGTCATCGCTACCAAGGTTGCACAGCCTCTGTTGGGCAGCTGCAGAGGTTATTTTTAGAAGCAAACATCAGGGCCAGTTAGTGTTTTGGTATTTCAGTCATAGAATGATACAATACCAGGTTGGAAGGGACCTCAAGGTCCAACCTTTTTTGCCAAAAGCCCAGTCCAGGCAAGGTGGCCCAGCACCCAGTCCAGCTGAATCTGAAAAGTCTCCAGTGTTAGGGGATCTAACACGTCTCTGGGGAGATTATTCCAATGGTTTGATTGTTACTGTGAAAAATTTGCTTTGGCTTTTGTTCTTCTGGCTTGTGCATACCTGGGTCCTGGGTTAGGTTTCCATTCTGTGATGCTGGGCTCATCACTGGTGCAAATACTTCTTGGTATTTCTAAGGAACAGCAGGAATTCCATGCATGGTGCCTTTCCTAAAGGTCTATCAATGTCTGACCTGTCACACACACACGGAAAGCATATATAGATATACACAAAACAGTGGTAGCAGGCTCTGTAGCCAAAGCTTTTGGAAAAGTTTGTCTGTCATTGTGCAGTGAGAACCCAGCCAAAGTGCATCAGTGGGGCCAGGAAAAGTGCTCAGTGTGGGCAGCCAGTGATGTGTGTGGTGAATGGAACATTCACTGTTGAGAGCAGAGGTGTTGAAATGCCTTATTTGAAATAAAGACAAATGTTTTGGAGGGGCTGGTGCTGCAAAGAACAGGTTTATGAAGTTCCTGCTGCTTGTTTTCCAACCGAGAGGACAGGGGAGGGCTGGGGGCTCTTTGTGTGCTGTTGGTGTGGCTGGGCCCCTCTTGCTGAGTAAGCACATACCTCTGTGCTGCTGGGAACACAGACAGCCTTTTGCACAAAGAATTTTTTCATTATAGACTCCTCTCTGCAGCTTTTCTTAGCAAAGTATCAGTGCAGAGTGGATGTTGTAATAAATCAGTTGTTAGCATGAAAATGTAGTTATTTCTTTTGCTTAAATCAAAAAGATGCTTTCGCAGAGTATGATTAAACTGTTCTTTTATCACAAGGCATTAACTCTGCATTTCATACCAAGAATTCCAAAGCCCCGAACTCTTATCCCAGAACAGGTTTAAATGTGAGATAATCTGCAAAGGATGGTTAGCATAAATTATATTCTTCAAAGTTAAGTGCTATATAAAAGCAGAAGTTAATCCTTGAAACTAATTTTTATTCTGGGTATTAAGTCAAGAAGGGTTCTTCTGAACAGATCTTATTCATGTGTTTTATAGGTTGTCAACTAGAATGTATGCTTTTAATAAAATGTGGTGTCTGTAACAAACTGTGTCTATAATCAGCTGGCATCCACTTTGTTTCTGAGTCCATTTTAATCCAGGATTTAGCTGCTGAGAGGCCCTGTACATTTGGTTTCAGCCATGCTGTTATTTATTTTACTGACAGTCTAACTCAAAAGAATCTTCATCTTTACCACGATTGCAAAAGGACAGGAAATGTCAAAGCCCTGAAACTGTGGCAACTGAAGTAAATTCAGGTATTTCCTAATCCCTTATCCCAGAAATGTACCCTCCTGCCACTGCAAAAGGACACTGTCAGCCTTCCAAACACGGAATTGCTTTCAGCCCTGGGGAACTGCAGGACTGTAGGAACTTTTAAACCCTTTTGTGGCTCAAGCCCTTCTACACCACCAGCTCCTCACAAAGAAATTCTCTGGGCTGGCTTTTTTTGTTTGTTGATGTATTTTATGATTCTCTCCCAGATTTACATAATGAACTGCCAACAGGTAATGAGGATTATCATCCTTAGATGTGAAATGATTAAAGTGGTAATTCCTGTAGCATGCAAGAGGCATCTACAACCACAGTAGCTGTAAGAGGGGTTTTTGTTTTGCTGGTTTTTTCCTTCAAATCACTTTGCAGGCATTTTACTATGGGCCTGCCCACCCCAAAACACACAGTCCTGGCATGAGAAGAGCTGTGGGTGAAGAGGTTCAGGTGAGTCAGAGCCAGCCCTTCCCAGCAGGCTCTGGTTGGGAAACAGCTGTGCTGTAAATTGACTTAATGTGCTTGAAGTGTGAGTAATTTATTAGACTACTCTGAGACAGGAGGTAAATCATCTTATAGATGGTAGAATTAAGACACAGTTCTGGTTCCACACCTGTAGCTAAAATTAAGGTTATACATTATTTTGCATTAAGTTCAAATCAGTTCTTCTTTGAATTAGAAATCATCCAGAACAGCATTGCACCTAAAAACTTGAAAAATCATTTGATTTATTTGTTATATTTACATTTTTGTCTTTAAGGTAAAATTTAAACTTTTTGGAATGTTTTTGTGTAATCTGCTCTAGGTTCTGCCCTTCACACCTTTTTGCTACTTAACAAGTATTTTAATGAAAGGAATTTCTTCCCTTAACCCAGTATCAGTGTTAAAAGTTCAGCTGTACAGAATGCCTAGGAAAGCTTTCAGCTCAGTAATCCATCACTTCCTTTCTTTTAAATCTTTCTTAATCAAGTCTTGTAATAAATAAAGACTAATACCACCATGACAACACTGTTTTTTTTCAAATTGTTCATTTGCCAGTTTTAACAAGATAAAGAAATGAATACTTAATGTGGACATTGTTATACCAAAAAAAAAAAAAAAAGAACCCAACCCCTGAAACAAACAGACAAAAAAGGAGGACACAAAGGAACACACATGGAATGATGAAAAGGAACAATGATATTGCACAACTTCAGGTCTCTCTTCCCAGATTTTGATCTATGTATGAATTCAGCAAAACATTGTGTCCAGATAAATAGATAAATGTGTGGCCATTTGAGTGAATCTAGAACTGCAGAGTGTTTTCAGTTCCTTCTGACTGCTCCTTGGAGTTCTTCTCTAAGGGAGCAGGGTGCTGTCAGCTGCAGGAATAACAAACAAACATGTTGACTCCATTTTGCTGACCAGTTATCCGTAACCTGCACAATTCTCCTACACTGTAAATGTAGTAAGTCCACAAAGGAATTGGGTTGTTAAACACAACTTTTTGTATCAAGTACTCAAACTGTAGCTGAAACACAATCAAGAACATCCCCCAATTTGCTGTGGTTAACTTGAGATTGCATTTCACAAGACCAGGGCTTCTCACTGTATCAGGGTGGCACTGAATGCATAAAGGTCACAGTAGGTACATCAAGGGGGGGAAGAAAAAAGGAAAAAAATCATGCTAAGTGGAAAAAGGTCTTTACAGCTACAATCTTTGCCAGAGCCTCTCTTAACAAGCACATATTGTTTGCTACAGGAACCAGCTAATTGTGTCATTCTGGCTATAGCAGGACTGTTTGCCCCTTCCACTGCTACTCTTGACAGTCTGGGTTTATATAAACTTTGCATTTATGTGCAGAACAAAGTCTAATTCTCTCCTCTCTGAGTTCATTCCTGTTTGGTAGACTGATGTGTCAGCCAGCAGGGCTCAACAGATACATTTAATACAGGAGACTGAGATACAGTATGTTTATTCTTAACTTCTGATAACCTAAGGACTACAAGAACGAGAGATGCAGTATCCATTTGCTATGATCCAAGACAACCATCTTTAGGGAGAAAAAAGTAGAATAAGTGATCAATACTAACAACTACATTAATTCCAAATATATATTTTTTTTTAGTTATTGGCAGCTTAACTATTTATTGTTCATCCGGCCCACTTTTAATCTGATCAAGTTAAAGGTCACATATTAAAGTTTAAGGACTGTTATTTCATCAAAACCAAAGGAAGTTATAAAAACCCATGAAACCATAGTTTCACTGTAGGTCTTATATCTTCATATTCTGCACCACTAGTAGAAAAGGGATAATGCATCTCAGTTTGCTTATAAGCTAGGAGATCACTTCGAAGTCTGCATATTCCTAACTGCAAACAAAATATAGCACTTTTAACAGGTTATAAATAAACTGGTTTTCAAGCATAGAGCCAGCCCAACAATAACAATACACTATTAAAAAGACCTAAGGCAATGAATTCCATCTCCAATGAAAAAAAAAAGAAAAAGAACTGTGCAAACAAGCTTAAAACTATTTCTTTGTGCCAGTGTTATAAAATGTAGATTTCAATAAAGCCTTGACCCAAATGCCAGGACTTGTGAAAAGAATCAGAACAAAACTGGTTACTTTATTTAGGAAAAAAATACTCTTATCTTGCTGCTAATAAAATTGGATACACGCAGTTTAAACATTTACAGTTGCTGTAACACTTTACACAATTCCTATATATGGGTGTAAGAACAAACATTAAAAGACAATGGTGGGTCAAGGCTTTACATTAAAAATAACAACCTACTTTTCTATAGTCTCTAAAATACTATGTTTTCCAATATTTGCAGCCATTCAGGAATATTTTTTTTATTTATTTATTAGGAAATGTATACTTTGTGCATGATCTTAATTCCTAATTCCTGGCTCTTTGGGCTGAATGACAAAAGGATCAAACCCATTGAAGTGGATGGTCTCCTTGGAGGTTCAGTAGAGAAACCCTGGCTCAGTTAGTCTCATACGATGAAAGCAGTGCTGCATCCACTGGCTCCATGCAGGATGGACAGGTAAAGGATCTCATCAACCAGTCATCTATACAGTCCAGGTGGTAAATGTGCATGCACGGCAGAAATCGGATAGGGTCCCCATAAACAAAGTCCATCATACAAATGACACATCTGGGGGGGAAAAAAAAATATTGAAGCTGCTGTTACCAAACTGGAAATGAAAAGTAGCATACTATCTACTCCTGGATTACTTTAGTATTTGTAGATACTGTGAGGACTATCCTTGCATAGGAGAAAGCCAAGAGCCTTAGAATAACAGAATAGTTTGGGTTGCAAGGGACCTTAAAGCTCATCGAATTCCACCCCACTGTCACAGGCAGGGATGCCACTCATAACATCAGCCTCCTGCATGGCCATTTCCTTTTTCAGGAAATTAAATTACAGTCCCTGAAAATAAGGCAGAAACAGAATGGCAAGATCAGGTTTCCCGGGGCAGTGTCACAAAGCAAGGCAAGAGCCGTGTGTGACTGTGACTTACTCTCTGATCTTCTTTTCGGAGCCGTCTCTCCCGGGATCATAGACTCCTTTAGGTAGGTGCTGGATAAGGCCTATCCGCTGCGCTATCCGGATCTGCTCTTCTTCTGTCAGCTGTGTGGCCAGCCGGGTCTGGCTTGGAGTTGGGTGATACACAGGAACAGGGACCTGCTCCTAGAATTAAAATATTTCAGTTAAAAACTACTGTTTCATAGCACAGAAGTTGGTATTCAATTTTTCCTCTCTTAGTCCTACAAATATTTGTATGAACTCCCACTCCTACTTTGCAATTTTGGGGCTGTAATTATACTGAGAATGGGATAAAGAATTGAGGCCAGTATTTGAGCAAGGAGCTGCTCGTGGTTGTTCTCTGCAAAAGCTTTTGATCTCAAGGAATTGTTCATAGATGAGATACCTGGACAACAAACTGCACGTGCCAGCAGGTGAATAAGCCTTACAGGGACCTGGTAAACTGCTATGGTAGGGAACTGAACAACGTAAGGGCTGAGGGAGAGCCCCCAGCATGTGCAACAAAAAGCAGAATCTATGGCTGGGTTTTTTTACATTTAGGAAGAACTGTTTGCTAAGATGAGGGCACTGTCTACTCTTAAGTTTTAGAAAGGAAGGTTTTATTTGTTTTGTAATAACTAAAATTTACGTGAGCTGTTCTGGGCCACACAAGGTCCAATCCAGAACTGTAGATTTAATTCTTGTGGGTTAAAAAAATGTCACCTGAACAATAAGAAGAACAGCTTAAGTAAGCAACCCAAGTTTTACATTTCTTCTCATATATTAATATAATTTTATGGGTTCTCCCAAGCTGGACTTCAACTGCTGAAATGCTTAAGGTATATATTTACCAAACAAAATATGGGCAATGTATAGCTATTATGCAGTCCTTCCTCTACCACGTTCTCAGAAGCTTCTTTTGAATATTAATGAACTTTAGGTCAGATATTTTCACTGACATTTATATTAATGTGGTACTTAATTTACTTGCTTTTAAAGCATTTTTTGATACATAAATACCAATTTTTAACAGGATACCTTATTAGGACAGTATTGGCCAGTAGCCATAAATCTGCTATTAACAGGGAGACAATTTCTTGCAAAAGGTCTATTTTGATGGTACTTCTTAAACAGCAGAAAAAAACTCAACTTATACATGTGTCTGAAAATAAACCTGCTGCATCAGAGAGACAACACACTGATTAATCTGTTTGGAAAATGCAGAAGTTGATGTTTCAGAGGACACTGCTGCAGGCCAAGCAGAGAGCAGGAGTGTGTGCAGCTGTTCTGGTCACCTCCAACTGCTCTCCCATTGCCCGCTTGCTCCCTCATCACTGATCCAGGGGGGACACAGGATTTCACTGTCTGACAGAGTAACCACCTTCCAAAACGTGCATGTCCTTCCAGAGCACAGGCTGCCATGGGCACCTCCAGATATTCCCAGCAGGAACACGGCTGTGTTCCCCTTTCCTGTGCCCTTTGCCTCCTGCTCTGGCAGTGCTCAGTGTTCACCCATCACCAACACCCAGCACAGCCCAGCTGTGAGTTTGACACTGCACTTGGAAAACCCAATAAAGCCATTCTTCTTTCACTGCTGGGGTGCACTGGGAGTGGACAGTCAGCTTCCAGACTCCTGGAAGGCCAGGAGAAAGCTGCCCGAGGAGTGTGCAACCTCTCGCCAGTGCTGCCCAACAGCAAAGTCCTTGCTCATGAGAAATGCTAATCATAGATACAAGTCTGCCTGGCAATTCTTCACTGAATGCTGTGCATGCCACTGGCAATTCAGCTGTGGGGTAGAATCCACAATCTTCTCTTAATTTAGCTACACTAGGATTTCCCCCTCTGATTTCCTGGCAGAACTCAGAGGAATTATGAGAAGGTTCAAAAGACAGAACACGCCAGGGGTTCTCCAAGTGATTAATTTCCTGACTACTCTAAACCGTATTTCACAGAACTCTTTTCAGATCAGCTGACTTTTAGTGCTTTAAATTATCTAAAGTATTCTCTAATCATCATTTGGATAGAGAAAAGCACCAGCTGAACCTACAGATGACCTGTCAGATATAAAGTATTCAGAAAGTGACTGCAACCTTTGGTGCCTGCAAAATAAAGCATTTTTCCCCTCACAAATGCTGCCAACCCTCTGTGCTGAACACATGAGCTCAAGGCAGAGCCTGGTCCTGGTTTTATGTTTCAAGAACTTAACACCACAAATTCTCAGTAACTTTTTTTCCAGGGCTTTGCTGTTCTTCTTTGAACAGGTTATTAAATCAATAGCAGAAAGCATTACTGCTGCCTCCTTTATTTGTGACACAGATGTAGAGAACACTCAGCATTTGGAGAGAGATGCACCCCTCCTTCATGTCTTGGGAAAAAAAAGAGGAGCAGTATAACTAACGACAGGCACAGCATAGGCTGGTGCCAACATGGGCAGGAGGGGAGGCAACAGCTCCCCTTGCCCAAACCAGGGCTGCAAGTCATAGTGCAGGAAAGGCAAAAACAGGAGGAGGAAAAAAGGAGGAATAAAGATCCAAAAAACCCTCAAAATGTCTGAAAGTAGCAATGGCAACTGATAGCAGAACAACAGCAAATTGATCACCTCAGTAAATGTTATACAGCAAAAGGGAACTACAATTAAATAAGAATCTGTTGTGAGTTAGAACAATTACATCTGGACAGCTCTGAAGTAAGCAATCAGTCAGCTACCCAACTGACCACTGCTTTGGTTAAGTTTGGGAGAGTGAATAACATAACTTTTAAACCTGTGATAGGCCAGACAAGAACAAAACCTCGTTCTAGTCTTTTACAGGTACTTTCTGCGAGTGACCACCAAGGGACCATGTACTTGGGGAACCCACTTCTGCATTACTGCAAAGCCCCTCTCCCCTGGGTGTTCCCTGCAAAGACCTGAAGAGAGGCCTGAAGGACCACTTGGGCCCCTTTCCCCTGCCAAATACACAAATGGTTTCCCCATGGCCAGTGCTGCATGGAAACACTCCTCCCTTGGGCATCCTGTCTCAGGTTCCCTCCCAGCAGAGCTGCCCTGTGCTACATGTCTGACATGGCCCATTAAGGCGGGAATTTATAGTTGCCAGCTGTGGGCTTCTACAATTTCACATACTAGACAAGAATCTCCTGTCAGATGAGTAACTGGGTAGAAATGGTGGTGTTGCCATGACGTCTTCATGCTTTGAATGCAGAAAACTGGGGTTGGTGTGGCTGCTGTAAAAAACGTGTAAGGTAGTCCTGTAAATAAACCCGAGTGGCCGCTCCATGCCCAGGCACTGAACATGCTGTTTGCTGGCACTTTCATCTCACTCCCAATTGCTATTAAAAGCCTGCCCAAACTGAGCCCTGGACACAAACATACCAGGAAAATGGAAGAACACAGCTGCACACGTTGCAGTGTCACATTATAGACTACATAGACACTGACCCTTTCAAACTAGCCTTCTCCCCCCTCCAACAGGTCAAAAGAAAAGGTGTGTTCGTACCTGTATGATTCTAAAAATACTTTATTATTCATGAGAATCTGAGAGCCCAGATTTCTCTGACTGAGAAGTAGACACCCCCAGAGGGGTCAAAGTAAGAGATGGAGCATGAAGTGCTCCCTCAACAGACCCTGACGACCCCCCCACCAGCTGAGCTGGGCTCCTTCAGCCCTGCTGGCACACCCCCAGGCTGGCCCCACTCACAGCCATCACCCCTCACCACGCTGGCAGCTGCACCCTTGGGTTTCTCCACTACCAAATCTCTGGAGCGTTTCTGGAAGTTAAGCTCATCCGACAATAATTCCAAGCTGCCCGTAAGGCCGGAGTGCAACCCTCCTCACAGCCTGCGAGGGTTTATCACCCCTCTGCAAATCTTTCACAGTGTGTAAAGGCTGCTTTCATCAACCCACATTAAGGCAAGGTCCTGCTCACTCCACTGCAGGTGTTCAAGGGTAACAACGTGAGGATTCGACGCTTCAGCCAGCTCACATTTGTAGCTAGAGGCCCCTTGACATGTATATATATAAAAAAAGACTGTATTACCCAAGTGATTATTATTTTACTGCAAAGACGAGCACAAAATTTATTGCTCTGGTGTCTCATATTTCCCTTATCAACCATGGAAAATGTTTTTACAGACAAAATTACGAAATACTGAACTTCCAGCCAAAGTCTGTGTTATTTATCATTTGATATAGATGTCAGGCACTTCAAACCAAGATGAAATTTCTTGCTAACTCTATTACTATATGCAAAAAAAACCCTAACCCAGGCCAAAACAAATAATCAAGCCCACATATTACTGTTGGGCAATGAAAGAAAAAAAGCACTTTCTGGCCCTTAATTTGCTTTAATCATTATTTTTTTTCCCATATGAATCTAGTAATGATTAAACACCTCAGATGGCCATAGTCCTAGAGATACACAACTTTCTTCTTGTTCACAAAGTCAGTGGTGTCAGCATAAGTTTCCCTGGCTTTCTGTGCACAGAAATCATTCACTCCCAATGTTTATTCAGCCCTTAAAAACAGCAGCATTAATTTAGGCTCAAGGACTAGAGCAGGGTTTGTATTTCCATCTCACCCTGGCTCCTCCTCCTTCAGGGGGGAGAAATTATAGAGGGTATCTGGAGGTCTGCATTTTTCATTTCTAATGGAAATAAACATTTTCACATATGGCTTAAAAGGCCCAGACACTTTCTATGTGCAGATTCCCAAGCACGCTTTGGGTTCTCAACTAGAAAAAAGGTTTCATCAAGCATGATTTTCAGTTTTAAGTTTCCTCATCAATGCAACCTACCTTGGTTACTTATGCTGCTGTAAATCTGCTTTTCTCTTGTTTTATAGTCTTTTTGTCTTGTTTTTGCAAGTGCCATGAATTTGTAATACTCTGAAAACAGGTCAGTGCTAGATCAGAAACTCTTAATCCCTGGATAAAGATTATTTTAAGATCCCTCTACGCCACATATCAGCAGTATGTTATCAGGGCTTTTGTCTGTTTGTTGTTTTTAGAATTGCACCAACATGCACAAATTATCCTTTCAGGACGGTCAAAGGTGAGATGAATAATTTATAACATCTAATAGTTCTAGAGGTTAAAGCTTCATTGCTGTCCCCAAGATCCTGCCTACAGCCACCTGCCTTCCACTACTGAATACTTTGCTCAGTTTCCATC